TTGTGTGTTTCCTTGACTGAAGAAGCCTTCCGGACCGAAGGCGAAACGTTTCAGCACAAAAAAAAGAAACTGTCCAGATGACCTGACTGAAAAATGTTGGTTTGCACCAAATACATCAAATCTGTTTGTAAAAGCCAACTAATGGTTGGTGCTCTGTGTTAAAGCTTGTTCTTTGAGTTGATGCTTCCCAGCTGCCGCTGGGTGGCCTCTGGGCTCTGAGGTCCGGTGATGTTGATTATTCTGCTGGGATGGGCCCCACGTGGTTCTGGTCCAGAGTAAAAAGAAGAGGAGAGGAACTCTCAGAGAGGCTCCCGGACCAGCAGCACCATGTCTCTGTACCGAAACTTCGCCTGGTTCCTGAAAGGACTCACCGAGTTCACCAAGTAAGTCCTGGAGCTGTCCTGTCCTGGACAGAAACTTCCTGAAGACTTCAGAAGGTTTTAACTTTTAGTTTTAAAACTAAATTGCTGCTCACCTCAACTATAATCTTTCTTTTTGTTGTTAGTAGACTTAAAAACGCAGAATAAAGAATTTACTATTTATATATGAATCACTCTCAGTAGCAAACTTCTTTAAAACAGAAAATAAATTAAAGAAATACTTTAGATATTTTATTAGTTATTTTATATGTTAGAAGGCACTGATTCATTCATGCTGTTTATCTTTGTTGTTATGATTGTAAACTTCATTTTTTCTTATGTTGTCTGGATGAGAAAAATATGTGAAGCTCCCAGCTGGACTCTGAAGTCTGAACAATAGTTGGTGTTTTTTTTAATACGTTTCATAAAAATAAAAATAAAAAATCTGATTTTTATTTTTTTGTAGCCTATCAAGTTGAACAGTGGCAATTAAAAAAAAAAAAAAAAATATATATATATATATATATATATGAATTGGACTGAATAATTACAAAACAAGAAATAAGTGGATTTTCATCCATGAAAATCTAAAAGTGTGCTTTAGACTGAATATTTGTTGTGGGTTTACAACAACAGAGCTGCAGACAGTTTCACTCTGAAGTCCCATCCAGTTCCAGGGTTGGTTCATTTTACACAAAAGCACAAAAAATAACTTTTTTTTAATTTATATGAAATTTTAACAAGTTCATGTTTTACCTACATAATTATTCTAGATAAACCTGAATCATTAGCACAACTGATAACATCTCACTGCTGTGTTACATTTACACAATGTTTTAACACAGATGTAAAAGATGTGTAGTATTTTTTGAGCATATTGTTCAAGCGTGGTCAAATGTTTGTGCGTGTCAGAAAAAGAGGAGTGGCCGGACCTCAGACTGGTGCCTGCTGCTGGTACTTCTTGTACTTCTTGTGCTTTACGATTGTTAAACGAGCCTTTTGTTTGGCAGCTATTGATTTCCTCAGCGTCACTGAACGGAACAAGATTCATAAATGTC